TAGCCTCTAAGTGTTTTCTTTTTTCTTTTATTTATTTTTATGTGGTGCTAAGGATTGAACCCATTGCTTCATGTGTGCTAGGCAAGTGCTCTACCACTAAGCCACAACCCCAGCCCTCTTAGTGTTTTCAAGGTTCAACTACTGTAGCATGTATCACTTCATTCTTTTTTATGGGCAAATAATATTTTATTGAATGGACGTACCACCTTTTGTTTATTCATTAGTTAATGGACATTTGAGTGGTTTTATACTTTTTGACTCTTATGAATAATGGTGTTCTAAACATTCATGTGTAGTTTTTCTGTGAACGTAAAATGTTTTTAGTTCTTTTGAGCATCCACCTAAGGAGTAGAACTGATGGATCATGGCTACACAACTCTGTGAATATAATAAAACCACTGAGTTGTATAATTTTTAAAAAATATATTTTTTTTGTAGTTGTTGATGGACCTTTAGTTTATTCATTTATTTATATGCGGTGCTGAGAATCCAACCCAGTGCCTCATACATGTGAGGCAAGTGCTCTACCACTGAGCCACAACCCCAGCCCGAGTTGTATAATTTAAAAGGGAATTATGACATATTATTATTTTTTGCTTTGTAAAAACTCTAAACATCTCATCAGTTTCTCACAACATTTATTTATTGTAGCTGTTTACATGTTCATGGCTATGACCCTGCATTATGTATCATCTTATCCTAGGACCCAGACTGAGGAAGCAGTCTATTGAATATGCCTAGTTTAATGGCAGGGGAAGAGTGATGGGCTGGGTTGAATTTCACAATCTGATTTGAAGCTTCTGCTCTAATGCTGTGATATCTTGTCTGTTCACTTTACATTGACCAGAGCAAGTCCCTGGAAAAAGGTCAAAGTCAAAGAATGAGGCAGAGGTATTTACTTCTCCCTTTTAGAGACAGGCGGGTCATGTGGTGATGAATATGTTTGTATAATAGACAAGAGTGGAGGATGAATGATTGTACATGTGGATATTGATTAAGGAGAAAAAAGGGCAAGGAGGTCTTTATAGACTCCTCTGAGAAGATGGCCAGTAGAGTGGAATGCGTATGGAGTTGATAGCAACCTGAGGGGCAATCCAAGGAGACAGTGAGTTTATAGTTCCACTAATCAGCATAGTCATCCTTAGTTGTTCGATAGTCACCTGAGAAAGTGAATGAATGGATTGGTTTCAATTTGGGATTTTAGTGGAAAGGTATGGTTAAAGAGTGAGGTAGAAGTTGTAGCTATAGGAAAGTGAACAGATGAGCTATATGGTCTAGTCTGAGTAGGGACAGAAATAAGGTACAAGAAGGAGCTTATACTTAGGAGGCATATGAGTGGAGGTGTGAGTCTCTAATGGAATATGGAGAATTAGAGTAGAGACTAGTCTGAAATGAGATATTGGAGTTTAGGATTGCAGTTTCAGGTGTTGACAAAGGCTAGGATATGTTATTTTTAACTGAAGGTAAAAGGAAGTACAAGTCCTGGAGTTGAAGAATTGGGTATTGGCTTAGGTCTCCCACAAGGCAACATCCAAGATGACTCTTATTCTCTACTGAACGCAATGACCCATGCCCATTTTACTCACGATTGTGTTTCCATTGTTTTGCCTGTGTATGTGGTCATGCAGTAGATTTTTATTTATTGTGTGATTGTATGGAGGAAAGTGGAACTTGGCGTTGAGAGGAGGACTGTGATGCTTATGTTTGATTGAGATGGACCTAGTAGGTTGGTAGATGGGAATGATGCAGCAAGTGGCCCTTTCACATGGCTGGCAGTTGCTGCTGGCTTTTGTCTGAGAGCCCAGCTGGGGCTGTTGACCTGCATCCTCTCAAATGACTTCTCCACGTGCCTTAGACTTCTTAAAACATGGAGACAAGTGTGTACCAAGAAATAGGCAATGGATGTTGCCATGTTCTTTAGGCAAGGGCGTAGGAATTGACACTCTGTCCTGTCCCTGTTTGCTAGTGCAGTTAGTCTCTGTTGTGGGTGAGGGGAGATAGAACCTAACTCTTGTGTCAGTGAGTTTGTGACACCCTTAAATCCACCATACTTGGCTCCTAAAGTTTGATGGTAGCAAAAGTCCAGGGGTCTTGGTGTGGCTCAAAGCTTCAGGAAATTAAACTCATCATTAAGTTGTCCAACACCTTGGTCTTATTGGATTTTATTCTCTAGTTTATGTCTTCTCCATTTTGTATCATTTTTTGTTTGTTTTTTATGTACTGGGGTCTGAACGCAGGGGTGCTCTATCAGTGAGCTCCATCTTCAGCCTTTTTATTTTATTTTGAGACAGGGTCTGGCTAAGTTGCTCAGGCTGGCCTGGAACTTGTGACCCTCCTCCCTTGGCCTCTGGAGTAGCTGGGCTGACAGGCGTCCTCTAACATTCCAGGCTCTTGAATCAACTTTTTAAAAACTCTGCCTTACAGTGTAGTTTAATTGTAAAACTGCAAAGGATCCCCTGAGTTAGAAGCTCCCAGGTGGGTGCAACAGGTTTGGGGTGTGCTTTCCAGCTCACAGGCATGTTTCTTGATTCTAATGAAACTTAAGTAATTTCAGCAGCTTCTCCATGTTGGCAACATGCCTGTGAACTTTTCCTAGACAAATATTTGTGGGCAGAAATTTTTAAAATATTGATAGCAAAGATGTCAAAATGTTAACAGTGGTGGGTGATTTATTAGGCTTTTACATTTTTAAAAATTGTGCTTCATGAACATGTATTGATCGAAGCATTTATAAATACACAAATTTTAAATTTTAAAGATCGATATAAGTTCTAGTAAATAAACAGAATGATAAAAGTTGTATCAATTCCTTTGAGGAGCCAGGATGTGATGTGTGTGTGCTAGGAATCACACTTGGGGCCTCTTGCATACTAGGTTAACTAGTATTAATACCTTTTTTCCCCCTAAATTTTAGTTGTAGATGGATACAATACTTTTATTTTGTTTACTTATTATTTTATGTGGTGCTGAGGAACCCAGGGCCTCACATGTGCTAGGTGAGCACTCTACCATCAAGCCACAACCCCACCCCCCTCAGTATAAATACTTAAATTTTTTTTTTTTTTTAGTTGTTGATAGACCTTTATTTTATTTATTTATACACAGTGCTGAGAATTGAACTCAGTGCCTCACACATGCCAGGCAAGTATGCTACCACTGAGCCACAGCGTCAGTCCCAAGTATCAATACTTTTGATTAAAAATTCCAACTTGACTCTAGATATCCCATGATTAACAGTATTTCTCATTCAGGTCTGACCTTAAGACTTATCTGGGGTATTAGTTAAAAATTCAGCTTCTCAGGCCATTCATCTGGAGATTCTTGGTTAACTAGGAGTAGGATCCTGTGTCTCCATTTCTAATAGGTAACCTTAGGTTCAGGTAGATTTGGAAACAGGATGGAATAATGTTTAGTTATAATTGTTTTTTTTTTTCATAGAACCAAGTTGCATGTAAATAAATTGTACATTTGTTGAAATAACAACATGATGATGTCTGTATCTGAAAGGTGGAGATAGTTATCTAACTTAACAGGTTTGTTTGATGCTTAAATAGATGTGAAAGCACTTGAATGTGAAAGAACTGTGTTAGTTGTTGAGGTGCTGCTGAGCTTGACTCCCTGGTACGAAGTGTGAGGTTTTAAACATACGAGACCATGCCCAGGAGGGCACACAAACAGGTTTTCTAATCAAGTGGTAAGTTTTACATTTTGTTTTCCTGACTGATCAACCTTTTAAAAATATGACTTTTTGTTTCCTAGAAAATGGTGTCTTTCAAAGGAAAACAAATTACAGTTTAACTTTTTTCTATTGATTTTAAAATTCCAAATTTGTACTTCTTTATGAAATAGTATACAGAATTTCTTGGCATTTAAAAAAACACCATTGTCAGACCCTGTTTTCAGAGATTTTGATTTCACTGGTCTGTGTGGGGCTCTGTGAGTGTTTATTACACCTTCAGGGCTGAGAACCCCTTGACAGTTCTCGAGAAAAGTGATTAAAGGTATTGGCAAACCTGAAATTTTATAGACCTTTTGATATAAGAACAGTAATTTATAATTGAATAGTGAGAGAAAGCAAAGCTACATGGTAATGAGTTTGGAAGTAGTCTAGTTGAGTGTTTCACCCTGACTTCATACACACGTTCGTCAGTACCCAGACCTCCACTGGAGTGAATTTTAGATGATTGTTTTGAAAAGAAATAATGGTAAAGAACATACTTTTTGTAACATGGGGCTTTTTTAAAGCTCTACCCTATAATCTTAAGAAGGAGGCCCACACTTGATCCTCCATTCTAGTTGTGTGATATAGTGAAACTGAGATAATGTAAAAATGAAACTGAGCCATGAGTATTAGCATGATTTCTTATTTTTTAGTTTAAAACACCATGCAAGTAGCTAGAGTTGAGGGTTCATTTAAAAGTGTTTAAAGATCGTTTTTTCCCTTTCCACCAGAAATTTGGGACATTTTAATTTGAATTCATGATAAGCAAAAATTTTTTGGATGAAATGGATTTTGTTCTAGGTTTGTATGCATAGTCCATGAAGAAAAAAATAGATATTGTCTGTGTCATCTGAGGGGAGAATTTTAATACATGAAGAGAGTTCCTGATTAGAAAACTGTTTTCCATTTTGTAGTATAATCTAAACTAAAGGTTATAAAGTTTTATTTAAAATAATGGTAACTTGCCAGGCACAGTGGTACACACCTATGACTCAGGAGGCAGAGGCAGGAAGATTATAAATTTGAGGCCAGCCTCAGCAAATTAGTGAGGCCCTAAGCAACTTAGTAAGAGCCTGCCTCAAAATTAAAAAAAAGAAAAAAATTAAAGCAATGTAGCTTAGTGGTAAAGCACCCCTGAGTTAAATTCTCAGTACCAAATAAATAAATAAATAATAGGACCTTAAATAAGGGAGAAATCAATTTTCTAGGAAAAAAATAAGTCTTCAAGTTCACATAGCAGCGTAGATTTGCAGGGTTTTTTGTTGTTGTTGTTGTTGTTGTTATTGTAAAACAGAACAGTAAGTTATCGTATTACTCAGTGAATTCCTTGTTAGTTACCAATTGAAATACTCACATAGGACTCTTATTTCTGTCTTGCTCTGTTAGGTGTAAAGATTTCTCTCTGTGTTACTGGAATCCCTATTGGATGCTGCCCTCTGATGTTTGTGGAATGAACTGCTTTTGGGAAGCGGCTTTTAGGTAGGCACTTAATATTTAATTGATAGATCAGTGTAGGTAAGATTAGATAGTAAATACTAAAATCTCACACTGTAATAGAACATGAAAGTGTTTCTTTTCCTGTAACTTAATATTATACAAGTAAATAATTCATTTCTGATTGGATTTTCTATTCCCTTTTCTTATTTATGGTTATCACTAACTTTTAGTACATTCTGTATAGAAATAGTCTAAATATTTTTAGATGTTATTAAGGTAAACCATTATTTTTAGGAGAATTTATGATCTAACCTTTGATAACAGGTGATAAACAGAGGTGTGTGTGTCTATATATATATAGACACACACATACACATGGTATGCACATATATATTGCAGTTACCTAATTTAAAGCTGGTGTATTGAAAAAACGTGGGTGGATGGGACGATTGGGAAGGATTATATTAATTTTTAGCAGAGAGATTGAATATAGGGGAATGTGATGATAAAGACAAATTTACTGAAGGAGTAAATAATATGACATCGTTTATTGCCCTTTGAAATTATTGCAGAATTTGGCTTTGTTAACTTTTGTGTAAAGAAGGTACTGGATTGGCTGACCTCTTGGATCCATTCCTGTTCTAATCTTCAATGAGAGAAACAAGTATTGATAGGAATAGGAATGGGATAAGGCAGTAGCTTTCAGACTATTTCCCTGAAAATGCCCTTCCAGAGAGTAAATTTCTTTTGAGAGTCATCTATTATTATTATTATTATTATTATTATTATTATTATTATTATTATTATTTGTATTGGGGATTGAACTTAAGGGCACTTAACCACTGAACCACATCCTCAGCCCTTTTTTGTATTTTATTTAGAGACAGGGTCTCAACCAGTTGCTTAGGGCCTCGATACATTGCTAAGGCTGGCTTTGGGCTTGAGATCCTTCTATCTCAGCCTCCCAAGCCCCTGGAATTATAGGCATGCACCACCACCATGCCTGGCTATTGTATTTTTATTATTAATTTAAACTTCAATTCTACTCATTCTGTTTATCAGACTCCATTGTTGGTGCTAATGACTGCTCCTGAGTAAGGTTAATGTGGGTCCATTCTTTTGGAGCTTTCATTCTAGTGTATACAGTAGTGAACCTGAAATTACATTAGAGGGAGATAATTTATAGCTGTGATGAGTCACAAGACATCAGGGAAGGTTTTCTATAGTGGGAGACCAGTTGATGAACAGAAAATTAGCCTGGTTCAAGGATGGGGGATGTAAAGCTTTCTAGGTAGGAAGAGTTGCATTTAAAATTTTAAGCTTTTGGGCTGGGGATGTGGCTCAAGCAGTAGCGCGCTGTCCTGGCATGCATGCAGCCCGGGTTCGATCCTTAGCATCACATACAAACAAAGATGTTGTGTCTGCCGAAAACTAAAAAATAAATATTAAGAAATTCTCTCTCTCTCTCTCTCTCTCTCTCTCACTCACTCAAAAAAATTTAAGCTTTTATCTAAACTGACAATGATTGTTTCCATTTAAAGGGTACAATGTGATGTTCTGATCTGTGCATAGGGTGTGGAATGATTATATCAAGCTAATCAACATCTGTCACCTCACATTTATCATTATTTTTATAGTGCGAACATGTAAAATCTTTTAGCAATTTTGAAATAATAAATTACTAGTAGCTGTGGTCACTTTGCAGTGCGATTAATCTTGAAACTTTTTAATCCTCTCTGGCTGGAACTTTGTACCTTTTGATTAGCATTCCTTTCCTCCCATCTTTGCTAAACTTCAAGCCTTTGCCAATTTATTTTGCCCATTGCCAGGAAACTTGATAAAAGAGTACCCACCTACTGGCTTTCTTTATTTTAAAAAAAACAAACAACAATAGCAAAACTGGGTATGGTTGTGCATGCATGTAATCCCTGCTACTCAGGAGGCTGATACAGGAGGATCAAAAGTTTGAGACCAGCCCAGGCAACTTCGTGAGACCCTATCTCATAATAAAACATAAAAAAGACTGGGGATGTGGCTCAGTGGTAGAGCACCCCTGGGTTCATTCTCTAGAAACCAAAAAAAAAAGAAAAAAGAAAGAAAGAAAAAAGAATAAACTTCCTATCTAGCTATTCATGAACATAGGCAACTGATGTCTCCACTTCAAGTTTCTCTCAGGGACCAGTATTTCTAGCTGCATGTTGGTAATTTTCACTTTGCAGGTTCGGATGTCTCAGAGACTCACTTTCAAACTTGAATTCGTGGCCTAGCTTCTCAGATCTTCCTTTTCTGTGTTTCAAATTATGTTTTGTGACTGGTTTTGTCCACACATAAGCACTCATTGGTTCTTCTTGTGTGTCTGCTTTCATGCCACTGCTTCTGCTACCTCTGCCCTCCTGCTCCCTAGCTGTTGTGCTGTGCTGCTCATCGCTTGGTGCCACACTGTGTCATCTTCCTTCATTGCGGGCTGTACTTCCCTTTTCCACATCTCCTGAGCTCTTACACTTTATCTATTGTAATTATGAATCTTTATCCATTTCTGCCTTGACCGAGTGATAGCACGTGGTGTTGAAACCCCATGCCTAGAAAGGTGTTGGTGACCAGTGAATACCATGATCAAGAGGATCGTTGGTATGGGACAGTTTCTCCAACACTTTGAGACTGGTTCAAGTGTTTGTGTAGTAAACCTCCTTAGTAGTCCTGGGTGTTTTCTACTTAAGCAATTCCCATGCTTTTTAAAAATTTAATTTAAATTTTAAAAAAAATGGTACTGGGAATTAAACCCAGAGATGCTTAACCACTGAGCTACATTCCCAGTCCTTTTAATTTTTTGAGACAGAGTCTCACTAAGTTGTTTAAGATTTTGCTAAGTTGCTGAGGCTGACCTCAAACCTGTGATCCTCTTGCCTAAGCCTTCTGAGTCACTGGGATTACATGTATGTGCTACAACAGCCACCAAGATTAAATATTTTAAAAGAACTAATTATTTTAAAAAGAGTTCAAGTCATAAAAAAACTAATATATTGAAACTGATAAGAGTCTGTTGTAATGAAAAGGTAAAAAAACTAACTAGAAAATACAAAACATAAGAGTTAAAAAATTTGTTAAAAAGAATGAAAGAGAACACACTAAGTAAAAAATTTCATGGATACAAGTCAGCACCAGCATTATGTGTGTACTGGGGTCATCATAACCTTTGCATTATTGGATGTCATAATTTTGCCACTTATTAGAATAAAGTGTTAGCTTATTATTTGGATTTAGTTCATTACTGCTTGATGGTATTTCCGTACTTGTTTAGCTTTTAAAAATATTTTGTTATATATATTGTCTGTATTACTGAGTTTTTAATGAACTCTTAGAACAATATTATTCTGCTTTAGCCATTGATAATGAATATTTTCTTTACACTATTTAATCTTTCTCGAGTATTATGGGAATTGATTTTTGGATACATGGAGTCTGTGGTCAAAGGTGGGATATTTTAAACCACTATTTAAAATTTTATTTTAGAAGTTAATGCTTATTTATATTGCATGTTAGATTTTAAGATTTTCTTTTCATGATTTTTGTTTAAAAATCACAAAGAATTTTGGTAAGTATTTTGTTTCAAAAGTGATTTATATTCAACTCCTTAGTTTACCTTGTATGATAATTCAAAAGAACCCCCCCCACACACACCTTTTTCTCCCTTTTTGTGGTGCTGGGAATTGAACCTAGGGCCTCATGCATGCTTAGGCAAGCACGCTACCATTCCTAGCCACAATCCTTTTTTTTTTTTTTTTTTTTAATATTAGTTGTTGATGGACCTTTATTTATTTATATGTGGTGCTGAGACTCAGATCCCGTGCCTCACACATGCTAGGCAAGCTATCATTGAGCCACAACCCCAGCCTCAGAAGTCCTTTTTTTTAAAAAAAAAAATTATTTGTTTTAATTAGTTATACATGACATATGTATGCATGCAGTAATAATGTCTGTTTCATTCTACTATCTTTCTTCCTCCCATATCCCCTCCCCTCCACTCCCATCACTTCCCTCTACCTAATCCTAATCTAAGATAATGCTATTCTTCCCTAGTTGGTGAGGATGTGGTGAAAAAGGTACCCTCATACATTGCCAGTGGGACTGCAAATTGGTGCAACCACTATGGAAAGCAGTATGGAGATTCCGCAGAAAACTGGGAATGGAACCACCTTTTGACCCAGCTATCCCACTTGTTGGTTTATAACCCAAAGGACTTAAAATCAGCATACTATAGTGACGCAGCCACATCAATGTTTATAGCAGCTCAATTTACAAGTCTTTTTTTAATAGGAATTTTTTTAAAAGTTAGACCTTAAGGATATTATTGTTAGTGTTTCAAAATCTGGTTTTCTTTTCTTTTTTTCTATGTTATAATTTTTTTAAAAAAAAATTGTTCTTTTTTGTACATGATAGTAGAATGTATTTTGACATATCATACATACATGAAGTATAACTTCCCATTCATGTGGTTGTTCATGATGTGAAGTTACCATGGTCATGTATTCGTATGTACACGTAGGAAAGTTATGTCCGATTCATTCTGCTGTTGAAAATATGGTTTTCCATTTGTTCAATCACAAGTGTTTAAAGATACATGCAGGTATTTTTTAGTTTGGGGAGATTATTATTAGGAATTTTATTTTGTTATTTGACTTTATATACTTCATTTTAATGCTATTTCCTATTCTAAATATTATACATCATTTATTTATAGAGAGCATACTAACTTAATAGGCTACAAGAAAACACTGGAAGCCATCCATGCTGCCTGAATAAAAATTGAGAAGAAAAGTTGTTATAATTCCACTAGTAGAAATTTTCATAAACTTAGAAGGCAATTTCTAAGGGTTTGAAATCTGTTAACAGTATTTGTATTAGAATTTGTCATTCAAAACATTCTTTAAGTACTAACTTTTTTGTGTGCTCCCCCTCTCCTACTTTTTGCTCTTAGAAGTCTCAAGTCCACAAGGTTTCAAGAATAGTGCAGTGAATACATCATGCATCCTTACTTAGTTGTTCATTTCGTAGTCACATTTTCACATTTTCTTTGGCTAGCCAGTTGAGGGAACTGTAGCCATATGGCCTACTCCTAAATACATGTAGATAGCATTTATCTTCTAAGAACAGGGGCATTTTCCAATATAACCATAATAAAATTGTCACTTCACATTATTTAATACTGATAGAACATATATAGAACATATATTTCTTTTTTCTTTTCTCTTTTTTGGGGGGAGGGTGGTATCAGGGATTGAACTCAGGGGCACTTGACCACTGAGCCACATGCCCAGCCCTATTTTGTTTAGAGACAGGATCTCACTGAGTTGCCTAGTGCTTTGCTTTTGCTGAGGCTGGCTTTGAACTCACGACTCTCCTGCCTCTGCCTCCCGAGCTGCTAGGATTACAGGCATGCGCCACCACGCCCGGCTAATTGCCTTTATAGGTTTTCCTTCCCATTTAGTACCCTGTCAAGGATCATACATTGCACTTGGCTATTAGATCTACTTGGTATTCTTTATCCTAGAACTATTCTCTGGCCTTTTGGGGGGGTGTGGTAGTGGTAATGGTGTCTTTTGTGATATGACATTTTTGTTGTGTTTTGCAGAATGGCCCTTAATTTGTATTTGCCTGTCTCCTCATGGTTAGATTTAGGATTGGGGACCAGTTTACTGCATAGGAGATAGTCTTCTTTGATCATACTGTCAGAAGACAGCTGATGTCATGAGCTTAACATTTATTGGCTAGATCTGATCACATGGTTGCAATTATATTCTCCCATTTCTATACTGTAGCAGTATCTTTATCCTCTTTGTAATAAGTGAGAAAATACTTTGTTGCTTGTGGCTATAGCTCAGCAGTACAGTGCTTGCCTAGCAGGTGTGAGAACCTGGGTTCAATCCTCAGCACCACATACAAATGAATAAATAGAATGAAGGTATTTTTTAAAAAAGATGATTGCAAGATAGTGATTATATAATTATGTCATTCTTTCTGCTTTTATCATTTGGTATTTATCTTTTTTAATTTTTTTTTGTACTGGGTTAAACGTAGGAGCACTTGACCACTGAGCCACATGCCTAGCCCTATTTTGTATTTCATTTAGAGACTGGGTCTCACTGAGTTGCTTAATTCCTTGCTTTTGCTGAGGCTGGCTTTGAACTTGTGATCCTCCAGCCTCTGCCTTCCCAGCCACTGGGATTACAGGCAGGTGCCACCGTACCCAGCTAGTATTCATCTTTAAAACAGAAGGTTCCCTCCCCTCGCTCCTTTATTTAATATTATTTGGAGTCATGGCTTCATTTTTTACATCTGATATGTTGCTCATTACTGTAACACTTTTGGTGCTCAGGTTATACCACATTTAACCATGGGAACCCCTGGTATTTTCTTTGAGTTATCCAAAGAATTTCTTCAAATTAAATAGAAAAATAGGTTTGATTTAAAAAAAAATTTTTTGATAACATTTCTTTAAACCCATAAGGATATTAATTCATACTATGGTTAAAATTAGCCTATTCGTGAATAGAGTTGACCATTCTGTTGGTAGAATGGTTGGTAGACCATTCTTCCAGAATGAATGGCTGCTTCCCATGACTGTTAAGATAAGTTTTAGTTATCGCTTCCTTAGTGTAGAAGCTTAGATTGCTTTTTTCCAACCCCCTGGGGGTTGAACCCAGGGGTACCCTACCTCTGAGTACTCCCCATCTCTTTTTATTTTTTATTTTGAGATAGGGTCTTGATAAGTTGCTGAGTCTGGCCTCCGACTTGAAATTCTCTTGCCTCATCCCAAGTCGCTGGATTGCATGTGTGCGCCACTGTGTATGGTTTATTTTATATTTCTTCGAGTTACAATTGAGTTTCCTCTTCTTGGGGTGTGGGTAAAGACATTTTTAAAATATGTTTCATTTTGTCAATGTAGGTGTTGGAGTCTGTGCTCTCATTTATTGCTTTTACTGAAAAGGAACACCTAAAGAAAGAAAAAATGTAATGAGGTTGACAGTATCCCTGCAGAGATTGGTAGAAAGAGTGCTGGCAGTGTGACCAAAACAGCTCTTGCTAAAAGGCCTGGGAGGAGTTGTCCCTGGGACTGAGATAGGGGGTAGTTTTTCCTCTGGAGGAAAGTTTACTATACCTATTTCCATATGTGGAGAATTTTGTGCACAACATAGGACCATTATAGTTTATGTCTAAAATCTTTTCTTAGTTTTTGATGTGCGGGATAGATCTTATTGTGGCCAGTTAAGCAATCTGATATAGTAATGAAGATTGTCAGATCATGATGTTTTACCACCAGAGTTGGAGGCAGTTACTAAGGAAGATGAGATGGCAGAGTTCTGTACAATTGTTGTGTTTTGATTTCCTTATCTTCAATTTTCTCTTTGGCTTCCACTTCTTTGAGAGGAACTGGGTTCATGTCCCCTGTCATAAATACAGGTTCCATGTTAGGAACTGGTAGGCTCAACAGAAAGAGGGGAAGGGACAGAGGGTACAGACAAAGGAAGGGAAGGGGTCCCACTTGTTTTGAACACTGTGAGTGGGAATGGATGGAAGGCACTAAGCAAGACCCAGCCATACCCACACCAGCGGAGTGAGAGAAGTGGCACAGCAGAGTCAAGGAGGTTTCGGGCCACTTAAGCCTGGAGTCTGTGCTACTCTGTGTTGGAAGGGGTTGTGGCAGTGTTGGCCATGATGTACTCAGGACATCTCTCCTTCCACAAAGACACATTAGTGCTGGTATGTTTTAGGTCTTCTTAGAAATGTTTGCGTCTTGCTGAATATTTGGTCAATGGAACCGAATGTGTGACATTTAAAAATAGTATGTAAAGGAAATTTCTTGTTATTGGCCATGGTTTAAGGCTAGATGTAATACCGAAATATTTATGGATGAGATTATGGCTGATTTGCTTCACAGGGGTCTGCTGTTTAGTGGAAGTTGGTGTGGGAAGGGTTTAGATGAAATAAGAATGTTTTAAGTTTTTTTTTTTTTTTTCTTCCACAGGCTCCTTGAGAGAATTAAGCCCTCATGCCCTAAGGTATCCAGAATGAGTAATGAGTATATCCTACATGGCAGTGACAGTGATGCTGTCATGTATTTTTGGGAGAAGTGAGAAAGTATTAATTTTTTTGTGTTCAGTGATTCCTAGTGAGCAACATCGGTAGAGAAAGTACAGAAATATACGATTGATTGATTCTGTGTTGTAATTTATTTATTTTGCCTTTTTAAATAGAAGTTTTGAACTTCTGTTTTTGAACATGGTTAAGAAACACCATATTCCTGTACATGTGCTAACACTGTTGGAAAATATGTTTTTCTTTCTTCTTAGGTACAGTCTGAAAATAGAGCCTCCTGAGAAAATGCATCTTGCTGTAGTGGCCTGTGGTGAAAGACTGGAAGAAACTCTAACCATGCTGAAGTCAGCTATCATTTTCAGCATCAAACCTCTTCAGTTCCATATTTTTGCTGAGGACCAACTACATGATAGCTTTAAAGACAGAGTAAGTATTTTCAAGCCTTAGTCAAGGTCATAGAGTTGAATATTAATATACAGTATACTAGTTTTGTTTTATTCCTTCATTGTGCAAAAATATTCTTTCTGTAACTCTGTCCTCCTAGACTGGAGAGTATTCCTTGTAGTTATCTCCCCTAGGAGTCCAGAGGAAGGTTTGTCTGTGAACAGGAGTAGGCAACTTAAAGTCCTTTGCCACGCATAAAGACTTTAATTTACCTACTACAGTTCCAGGATGTTTTGATTAACGGGATACAAGTTTATGACTCTCGCATATAAAAGTAGCCTCTGTAGTAGGGGCTCTGTTTTTTCCTGATTTTGGCTGAGTCATTTTCAGCATGAGGCTTCAATCTCATGATCCAAGATGTGTACTCAAGTTCTAGCTGTCACACCTGTAGTCTTTCTAAATCAGGAGAGAGGAATGAGTGGAGAAGGGCAATCCCTTCCCTATCTTTAAGGATACTTTTAGGCAGAGCTGTGACATTTCTGCCAATCCAGTATTCTCTTAGTCTGAATTTAGTCAATATGGCCATGCCTAACTGTTAGGGTAGATAATATACTTTTTAATCAGGGCAGCTTTGTAACCTTAACAAGAACAAGAATTACTGTGCAAGAATTGGAGATCAGGGTCTGGGTTTGTGGCTTAGTGGTAGAGCATCATTAGGTTCAATCCTCAGCACCACAAAAAAATAAATCAAATAAAGGTATTGTGTCCATATACAACTAAAAACTATTTTTTAAAGAAAGGATTGGAGATCAGATACAGGGAGAACATTTTTATTTTTTGTGTTTAAAAAATTTTTTTAAATTTGTTCTAATTAGTGATACATGACAGTAGAATGCATTTTGACACATTGTACACAAACTAAGCACAACTTCTCATTCCTCTGGCTCTACAGCTACTCACTCCCACTCTGCACAATCCAGAGTTCCTTCATTCTTCCCTACCCGACCCTCCAACCACACACTGGATCAGCATCCACTTATCAGAGAAAACATTTTACCTTTGTTTTTTTTGGGGGATTGGCTTATTTTGCTTTGCATGATATTCTCTTAAGAGAACATATTTGTGATATGGTGATATTCTAATGACTATTAATTCTCTCTCATTCTCCAGCCCCACACCCACTAAATTATACTTTCAACCTTATTTGGATTTTGATGCTTGGTCTATTTTTTTAGTTCATTTTGCATGTCAAGGGAAAAATACCACTTGTGATTTCAAGTCTTTTACTTTTCTGTCTAAATCTTTGATTCCAAGAGGTGTAGAAATTTACTTAACTTGAAAATATTTCTGGCATCTACATTTTTGTTACATACTTTAGTGATCTTGTTTTTAAAAAATACTGAGTAATAAATCTTGTTGTATAAGTTACTGCTACTCATTGTGGAAACACTTGAAAGGGTAATTTTAAAAAAGTAAATCATTAATTCTTTCACTTTAGATGTAGCCTCTATACCACGTTTTGAAATTTAGATTTTCTTTGATTATAATAAGCAATCCTAAAAATGTTTGATTTTGCTTTTGATGAAAGAATAACAACTATTTGATGGGACATGCTTTTCGTATCAAAAAATAACTAAATATTATAATGTTAGAAGTTTTCTTTTTGCATTTTGCATTTTCTTTTTGCATTTTTATGCAAAAGATTTTATTTTGAAATTTGTATTGAAAGGGTCTCTAAGTTGGGAGGCAAAATAAAAAGGTTGGTCTTTTAAAATAATCAACAGAGACACCAAAGCAGAGTATTGATGCAGGTATTCACATAAACTATGTTGGAATATATTAATTTTTAAAATTCCTTAAACACAATTATAACTCAGAAAGATCATCTTTATATGGATTGTTTTTTAAAACAACCTGCTATAGAAACTAGTTAGTCTCCTGCCGTGCCATCCCCTCCTCCTCATTGTCTCTGGCTGCTCTTTGGGTACTTTGAATCAGCAATTTCAAAGCCAGGCCTGATAGACTGGTGGAAGTGCCTGAAGGTGCCAGCTACTCAGGGGGCAGAGGCAGAAAGATCCTTTGAGCTTAGGAGTTTGAGGCCAGCCTGAGCAACAGCAAATCAAAATAAAACCAGAAAAACTAATCAAAAACAATTCTGTTAAAGCAAAAGTAATAGATAGTAAGTGCTTACCTGAGTTTGAAACAGTTCAAGGAGTATGTTCATTATAGATTTTTAGGTATATTTTTCTTTTTATAATTTTTAAAGGACTGTCATTGGATGTATAATTATTAGAATATTTTTTTGTCAAGAATTCTCATGCACATTGAAACTATATATAACTGGACACACTAGTTTTATGTTAGTCTGACTTTGAGTGTAAACATTTTTATTATACATATTTTGTTAATAAGATTAGTACCTAATTTTTCTGACCTTATTTTGTTTAGGGATTCAGAGTATGTACTTATGTAAAGTTAAGGGACATGAAAGCTTACAAAGCTCTTTCAACTTTCTGATATTTTTGGTTCATACGCTCATAAATTGATTGTGTCTTGGATCTGAAGGGTGAAGTCTTTCTGGCATATTACTATGGCTTTTAGGCTTTGAATAAAAACAAGGACAATGACGGAAGAGTTCTTTCTTTTCAATGTATAACATAAGATGTACATGATCTCAATTTTTAGCTCTTTTGTTTTAAACTATTGGTTTATGATATTATGGAGAAAATTGAAAGTAAAGCAAGTCTAAACTGGTTTCTTTTTAAAGAAAATATTGTTTTTTATTTTTCAGCTTGACAGTTGGTCATTTCTACAAACATTTAATTACACTTTATACCCCATTACCTTTCCAAGTGAGAATGCAGCGGAGTGGAAAAAACTCTTTAAACCATGTGCTTCCCAGAGGTTATTCTTGCCAGTAAGTTTTTTCTGCCGCAATGTTGTTGTTGTTGTTTTAAAACTTACTTTTACACTGATTATTTATGAGGAGTTAATATATAAATCTAATTAAACGAATACACATGTGCATGTGATATTTAGAAAAAATTTATATAGAGTAAGTCAAAACTGTAATAAAAATGATGTTAAAAATGAAAAATTTGGGGTCTAGGATGTAGCTTAGTGGTAGAGTGCCTAGGATATGTGAGGCCCTAGATTCCATCCCCGTTCCACACAAAAATAAATAAATTTTTAGTAATTATTGTCAAAATAATGTTTCTTATAAGTGTAACTCATTCAGTTGCTTTGAATGGTTTTCTTTGTAAGAAGGAATAGAGGTCAGATGTTAATGGAGCCAGGTCTGATGCCAGTGATGTACATTGATGGTATTAACTTTAGGTTGCAGACTGCATGTACAGCTTGGGGAATTATCCTTGAACGTCTCTGTGGAAGGTACATGTAGGAGACATAGTGTCTCTCAAAAAGTGCAATATGGCCAATTTTTTTTTCTTCTAAGATAATTCTTCACCCTTCCTAAGTGCACATTTTCTTTTACTTATCAGGAGATAGTAAGCATGGAAATAAAACCAACAACTCTGGAAATGGAAGGCTGGCTTCCAGTTTGGTTTTATGACTCTTACTAGTTGATACCAAGTGATGTAGGGGTTGATGTCACAGGCTGAGGGGGACAAATTCAGAAGATCTTAATTTGTATTGGTTTACTTTTTCATGATTGGAAATTTAGATTTAAAATAAGAATCTACCATATGTTAATGTTATTTTTTCATTGTGAAAAACATTCCTTTTCTGATCTTTTGAGGATAATGCTTTTATCCTCCCAATTGTTAGTTTTGAATTTTTGGCTTTGGTTTGTTTGCTTAGCTTCTTGAAAGGTGATATGAAAGTTAGCATAGTGTCTGCTTTATGCTGTTTTCAAAAATTTAGGAAAAATTACTTTAAAAAAATTAATGTTAGTTAGCTTATCTCTTTGGTATATTTTCTATAATTAAATCCTCTTATGTTTTTAAATTAAATCAATACATAGTTAATGTTTCAAATATCTCTCCTTACAGTTAATCCTGAAAGAAGTTGATTCGCTACTGTATGTCGACACTGATATCCTTTTTTTACGACCAGTTGATGATATTTGGTCTTTACTAAAGAAATTCAATTCCACACAAATTGCTGCAATGGCCCCAGAACATGAGGAGCCTCGAATTGGATGGTACAATCGCTTTGCCAGGCATCCATACTATGGGAAGACTGGAGTGAACTCTGGAGTGATGCTGATGAACATGACACGGATGAGAAGGAAGTACTTCAAGGTGAATTGCTGAAGCGGGTGCTTGGCTGATATTTTTCTGGTTTTCTTTTGAAATTATTTGCTTTATAGTTTAGTTTCCTTTTATTAAAATCCAGACTATTCAGAATTTTTCTATTTACATAGAATTATTGAAGAAAAAGGTGTCCACAGTGTGCTCTTTAATGGAGTGGGTGGAACCGGATGGTGTCACATACAAGGAAGAGCAGTGGGCACCATCACCCTGGCTCTCCCTGCAGGACACTGGAACCAGTAGTATGATTTTTTTAGGGCAACACAGGGTCGTGGCTAAGGATATAGACTACAGCTGTCGGTCTGGCTCCTTTTTTTGTTATTCAGTTATTTTGGTTACATTTTGATTATATCTCCAGGCTTAAGTTTTCTGTCTGTGAAGTAGAATGGTGGCATGACAGTACCAGTGTCCTAGGGCTTTTTGTGAGGATTAAATGAGTGAAAATGGTGGCTGACATATATAAATGTTGTATTATGCTGCTATATTGAAAGTTAAAAACATCCTTGTGTGTTTCTCATCAAATTGTGGGATCAGTAGAAGAGTCAGATTATTTAATTTCACTGATGATGTACTCTGAATCATCACTATGTTCTGAGTAAAGTGTAGGCAGGTTAGTTTGAGTACAGTAAGTTGTAAGTCATTATAGTTTGTGGACTCTGAGGTCAAATTGGCTTTCTGTATAGCTTTCACCAGGGTACTTCTTAACCACTGGCCAGTTAGTTAGCTTTTGAACGTCAGTTCTCTCAGCTAAAAGCAGAGATAGTAAATGGACTTATCTGAGTTAGTTTAAAAGAAAGAAATTAAAAATGTTTAGTACAGAGCATGGCACATAATAAGCAGGTTTTCTTTTCTTCTTTGTTTTCTTTTTTGCTGTGCTTGGGGTTGAATCGGGAGCCTGGCCATGCTCTGCAGATGCTCTGCCATTGAGATGCCTCCCCAGTCTGGGGGAGCAGATTTTAAATGTTAGCTAAAAACAGTACCTTCTGAGCAAATACCTACCATTTATTCCTTTCTAACTAATTAGGACTAAATTAAACATTAAGGGATATTACGTCTTGTGAGTCTCTGTATATGTTTACATGGCTATCTATATGGGCTTATTTGTTATATGGTTTTCTCTCCTCCCTTCTTCCCTTCTACCCCTCCTTTCCTTCTTTCATTTGTCGCTATTGAACCCAGGGCCTCATGAATGCTAGGCAGGTGTTCTTCCACTGAGCTATAACCCCAGCCCTATCTCATATTTTTCTATGATTTCTGGTGGATAGAATTTACATTGTTGAATTTATTTATCCCTTGTACATGCTGGATTTAAATCTTTGCTTCATTTAGAGTTTTTCCTTCTTTCCTTTGGTATAGGCGGCTGTATGGCTTGTAGCAATCACCACCGCGTGTCAGCATTTCAGTCTTAGAACTGTCTTCTTTCCACCTCACCTAGTACTATGAATTGAACCCAGGGGTACTCTGGTACTCTGGTACCACTGAGCTACATCCCCAGTCCTTTTTATTTTTCATTTTGAGACAGAGGTTTTCTAAGTTGCCCAGGCTGACCTCAAACTTGTGATCCTTGTGTCTCAGTTCTCCAAGTCACTGGGATTGTGCCACTGTACCCGACCAGTCTGGGAAGTCTTGATAGTACCGATTGCCCTTCCATCCTGTTACTCTAGTAAGCCTCATTCTTTTAGCCTTCCAGTTTCTGAACCTTTAGAAAATCTTGATTCCATCTCAGTTTTTTTTTCTCCCAGAATTGAATGCATTAACGAGACTAGTTATAGGTTGATTCTGCTCTTTCTTAACACAGAACAAACATCTGTAGGTATCCAGTTTGTTACTGTATTTTGAATTTTTAAATTTCATGGTCCATGATGTGTTACTGAGTAAAACTGGCATTATAGCATGATTTTGATTTTGTGATTGTTAGACTATGCTTGGTAATATTATACCAGAAGATGGTGCTGTAAGATTATCTGCTAAGAAATAATGTACTGCTCAGTAACTGCATTTGAAATTTATAGAATTTTGAGAAATTTAATGTTGCAAAGAACTAGAGATAGTTTGTTATAATATTATTTGATTTAAAAAATTAAAATATAGCTATATAATTTTAAGTCCATTACTATTTTTTTCTTGCTTCTTAATTAGATGCTGTTCTTAAATACCTCAATTGTTTCTCCCATTTCACTTTTCCTTTTGTTTGTGGTATGTTGTAGCTAGTTGGAAATGTAGAAAAGGAGTTGAAATAATCTCTAAACTTTCAAACTTTCTTTTCTTCTGTGCATTAATGACTTAAAAAAAAAAGATGAGAGAATTGATTGCACACTAGTTCAGTAGGTCCAGTTTACTTCAGACCTACTGCTGTATGTTACAGATGACCTATTATTGGCCTGTGAAACCATGTGCAGATTTGCTTCATTTTCAAATATTGTTTTATTTATGATTCCTGGGATGATTCCATAAATTTTATGGATTTTAAATTTATTTTCCCATCTAAAGTTTTATATTTTTAGCCATACAACTGGATTATTTCCAATTACTCCCCATATTGTTACAAACAGATATGTGGATGTCATCCCATAATTCTTATCACACGGAAAGGCACAAGATTACCCCTTTAGGATAAAGATTTTATTTTAGAGTATTTATTTGCTTTTTTATCACCAAGTTTTCACTATCATGGCTGGTTAGTTCCAACCTGATATTATAACATATTTTTATTTTTTAAAGGTTTTTCAAAAACATTTTATTAAAAAATGTTGAATTGACAAAAGTTATTAGCAGTAATAAACTATAAGGATAGGAAACAATGACTAGTTTTATAACTCAATAACCAGTTGTATATTATATATTTAAGATGTATAACATGATGATTTAATATAAGTATAAACAATGTACTGACTACCGCAGTCAAATTAATGCATTTGTTACCACTCAGAGTACCATTTGTGTGTCTGGAGTGAAAGGACACTTAAACTTTCTCTTCTTAAATTGCAGGTATCTGTGTTAGTATTATTAACTCTAGTCACCATACTGTACTTTAGATTTCCAGAATTTACTTATCTTATAACTGGAAGTTTGCACCTTTGACAAACATTTTCCTCACCTCCCACAGATAGTTACATATATTAAAAAGTGTAATTTAATCAGGAGACTGAAGCAGGAGGATTATAAGTTCAAGGCCAGACTCAGCAACTCATCGAGGCACTAAGCAACTTAGTGAGACACTATCTCAAAATAAATTTTTTTTTTTTTAGAGAATGTAGCTCAGTGGTAAAGTGCTCCTGGGTTCAATCCCCTGTATCCCTTGCCCCTGCAAAAATTTAAATAGTAAAAATTCTTTTTGTTCTTTGTATCTCTTAATACTTGATAGACAATGATATCACATTAATTAGCTATTACTTTGTATTTGGGGTTATGATATTTGTAGTTTTGAATCCTTACTGTAGTATTTCTTTCCTCTCTTTTTTAAAAAAAATTAGAATTATTATTTTAAAAAAATAGAGATAAAACAAATAATGTGAACTAGGCCCTTAGGAACACATTCCTTGTATGTTTACTGTACCCTGTTCCTGTCTGGCTACATATTACTTTGTAAAGTGTTTTTGTCTTTTTTACCTACTGAGGGCAGATGCATCTCTTGTACAGCTTTGTATTCAGAATATTTAGCACAGTGCATAGAATAGCACCTCAGTGGCTAGTAACTGGCAAAGAACAGTCAGATGAATGTTTTAGAAATGAAAACATAAATGAATTATTGGAAAATATTGGAAAAGAGAATATTTGTTATGAAAACGGCAAACTTTATTTTTATGTATTTGAAAGATGTATGTGATGGAGTATTTGTGTTGATGTAGATAGCCATGTGAGCAGAGTAATACTAATGAGCATCTTGCCAAAGGGTGTGGATTAATGAATCCTGGGAAACTAATGAGTTCCCAGTTTTTAGCATTGTTGGAGCATAATATGAATAGACACTTGTAAATTTTATATTTATGGGTAGGCTGACAATGATAATGAATCTATTTCCAAAAGCATACACAATTTTAAAGTGAAGCTCATTGGTCTTAATGCAGTATTCATTTTGGTCATAGATTTGCTGAAATTAGAACTAGATTTTTCTGGTTTTGGAATTTACAAAGCAAAATTATTCTTATAAACAATCAAATAATTCAATGTATGCAAACGACAAGTGCCTACTCTGCTCTCTCTCTCAAGTTTCATGCCTTTGTGAGAAGTGACACTATAAACTTGGTTGTATATTCAATGGACCTTTTAAAAATGTATTTGAAACAAGTGTACATGTATATTAGTATTTATAGTCATATTAAAATTTTTTTCTTATTAAGTTGAAAACTTTCACCTTTTCATGGTCCTCCTCTTAAAATTGAGATGTAGGACTGGAGATATAGCTCAGTGATATTGCATTTACCTAGCATGTATTAGGTCCTGGGTTTGATCACCAGCACCACAAAAGAAAAAAAAAACGTAGTGATTAAGTTATAATCAAACTATTACTACTTTTTCTTTCCTAGATTTATTAGTCTTATTACTCCTACATGTAACTTCAGATCTTTTGCTATCTTCCCCTCTCCTACTGGACAGCTCTTCTCACAATTAGGGTTATAAATATCACTTGGTTTTGTAGCAGAAGGAGTTTGCGTTTCTCCTTGTGCCTATGTAATGGTTGCTAAAGGAAGAATCAGGAACTATCATGATGCCATTTAAAATTGGAATTCTGAGACTCTTTAATGTTTTATCAACAGAATGATATGACAACTGTACACCTAAAATGGGGAGATATACTTATGCCATTGCTTAAAAAATACAAATTAAACATCACGTGGGGTGATCAAGATCTACTGAATATTATGTTTTTTCATAATCCAGGTAATCATTTAAATTTCTTTTGTTCTTTGCATTTGTAAAAAAAATCACAGAATATTGATATTGACTTATTATTGGTTGTTACTTATATTTGAGACACAGTAAAACTTTTCTTGAATATGATTTAGTTGGAGAGATTTAAATGCCACCTATATTTTATACTATTTTAAGTCTTATTTTGTAAGAGTTATATTTTTAAACTAAATGTTTTGCAAAATGTTGATTCTGTAGAATTAGTATTTATTTCATTTTTGTTTGTTTGTTTTAAATATTAGAAAGCCTTTTTGTTTTTCCGTGTCAATGGAATTATCGACCAGATCATTGTATATATGGAAGCAATTGCCAAGAAGCAGAAGATGAAGGAATCTTTATTCTTCATGGGAACAGAGGTGTTTACCATGATGATAAGCAGCCGGCATTTAGAGCTGTTTATGAAGCACTGAGAAATGTAAGTTTTTTTTTTTTTTTCATTTGGAAAAACATACAAACTTATTATGGAGAGTTGACAAAAAAATGCAAAGAATTTTCATAAATCCCTTATTTAGGTTCATCAGTTATTAACATTTTTGCCTTATTTGCTTTGTCATTGTTTTTTTCCCCTATACATTGTGTTTTTCTGAACCATTTGCCTGTTAGCCTCTCACCCCTAAAAACCTGTGTGTTTTACTAAGAATAAGTTCTCTTATTAATCATAATACCAATATTAAACTCTGAAAATTTGATTCTGGTATTTCATGTGTTTTTATATATGTACTCTCTGTTGATCAAGGAACAGTTTTTCACTGTCCTTTAAGATCTTGTTTTTTTTTTTTTTTTTTTTTTGGAGAATAGCGCCCTTTCACTGCCACTACTACTCTCTTTTTAAATTAGAATTTTCTTTATTTTGCTTATCTGACGCTCCCTCTGATTAGGTTCAGGATGTGCACTCCTGAACAAAGTCACCTTTGTCTGCCCCTTGTTGATGTTGATCACTCCATCAAAATGTTGTTAATTTCTCCATAGTATAATAATTTTTCCTCTTGCAAGAAGTCTGTAGGGACAGTCTCAGAAATCATGCAGATGCTCTGCTTCTTATCACAACTTCCCCGCCCCTAGATTCCCTACGAGATTTAGCATTCATTGTTGGTTCTTGCTGAGGTCAGTCTTTACTATGGCAATTGCATTTAATGATTGTCCAGTTCTAGTACTCTTTCCACGTATCATTTGGGATTCAGCATTCTTCTGTAAGGAAGAACCTAGCCCTCCCTTTTCGCCCTATTATTCATTTATATGTAATTGGTATGAATCTTTGGTACTTAATCCCCTTCCACCAGTGATTTATAATATTCTTCCCTTCTGTGGTGGTGCTGAAGCTGTTTCAGATTTTGTCCTGGAGAGTCATTTTTTGGCTACTTATTGTGCCATTTTGACATGTCCCAATAGTTTTTTGAGTACCTCTTTATACCAACAAAATACTCTAGGTTTATCTAATACTTTCCTTGCCCTATCTCTGAAATTAGTCATCCAACAAAGGTGCTCTTGTGCCCTTTTGTGGCTCTGGATATTAGGCTTATTTATTGCTACAAGAGTGTCTTTGCTTTGGAGCCCTTCAGTGACAGGAGGAGATGTGAACTCAGACATGTAGTCAGGTGTTCTCATGGATTCTCCACTTCTAGCCCGTTCCTTCAAGCTCTTTCTTGCCTTCTTCTACCCTATATTTTATCCCCTTTTAACTCTACCATTAGAATCCTGGCTTCCTTTTTTTAGTTGTAGATGGACACAATATCTTTATTTAGTTAATTAATTTATTTATATGTGGTGCTGAGGATCGAACCCAGGGCCTCACACATGCTAGGCAAGTGCTGTACCACTGAGCCACAAACCCAGCCCCTAGAATCCTTACTTCTTTTTTTTTTTCTTTTTCTTTTCTTTTTTTTTTATTGTTGGTCATTCAAAACATTACATAGTTCTTAATATATCATATTTCACAGTTTGATTCAAGTGGGTTATGAACTCCCAATACAGCAATACAGATTGCTGTATCACATCAGTTACCCTTCCATTGATTGACATATTGCCGTTCTAGTGACTGATGTATTCTGCTGTCAGTCCTATTCTCTACTATCCCCCCTCCCCTCCCCTCCCCTCCCCTTTTCTCTCTCTACCCCCTCTACTGTAAATCATTTCTTCCACTTGTATTATCTTGTCTTACCCCTCCTTTCCTCTTATATGTAATTTTGTATAACCCTGAGGATCATCTTCCGTTTCCATGCGATTTCCCTTCTCACTCCCTTTTCCTCCCACCTCTCATCCCTGTTTAATGTTAATCTTCTTCTCAAGCTCTTCGTCCCTACCCTGTTCTTGGTTACTCCCCTTATATCAAAGGAGTCATTTGGCATTTTAGAATCCTTTCTTCTAACATTAATACACTTCCTTATTTGCTTAACCCCATAATACATTTAAAGTGATTTCAGAAATGTTTCATTCTGCCATTACCTTCACTTCCCCACCCCGCAAAACCAACCTACTGAAGTGTTCTGGATTTGTTTCCAGCCCTTTTTCCTCCTCCCCTGCCCCTGAACAAGGGTAAACACTCAATACTGTGTTCAGAAGTTACCTGAAGTGGTTCTTTGTCCTTCACTTTCAATGTAATTATTTTATTTATTTGAAGGAAATTTGGGTCCATTTTTTCTTTTCAGAAAGTTTTTAGTTTTAGCTTTTATTTTCTACTCTTGTTGATACAATATTTTTGATATATGGAATATTAATACACTTCAAAAAGTGAAAGCCACGTAAGGGTTTACTCAGATGTAACACTTCTTTCCTTGTCCCTTACCCGTCAACCCTCTTCCCCCACAGTTTCCAGTGTCGTTTTCTGGTTTGTGTGCCTAGGTTTCTATTTGTAAGAAGGGAAAATGTGTGAATGCTTGTTTTATAATTTTATAATTTTGTTTTATAATTTCATAATTTTTCTTTTCTTACATAAAGGGTAGTATGTGTATTCATTTGTTGTTTGGGTTTTATTTTTCCCCTTACTTAAAATATTTTGGAAATATCTGTACCAATCTCTATATTAGGACATTTGGTAGATGCTCGTGTTTTGGATTATAAATAATGTAGCAGTGTGCAGTAGCCTTGCTGTGTGTGTATGTGTATTTGGGAGGTGAATCTTCAAGGTAAATTCCTGGAGTGAGATTATTATAGTGAAGATATTGCCTGTTTCCCCTCTGTAAGGATTGTTGGCATTCCTGCCAACAGTTCATGAGGCAGCCTATTGCCCACATCCTTGTTAATAGAATGTATTATCAAGATTTAAAAAATTTGTCAGTCCAGAAACTGAATCTCGGTGGAGTTTTAATTTGCATTGGTCTTATTACAAGTGAAGTTGAATATCTTTTTATATATTTAAGAAACACTTTAATATTTTGGGGAATGAATTTTCTTGTCTTTCGTCTATTCTTCTATAGGTTTTTGAAAAATAATTTTATTAAAGTATGGAGTTCACTTATTTCACGTGTATAATTCAGTGATTTTTAGCATATGTACAGAATTATACAGCTATTTTCATAAGGGAGTTTTGATCCTCCCTTTAATTGTTAAAAGTTCTTTGTATATTGTGGGTGTTAGCCTTTATCTGTGATATATTACTGTGAATATTTTCTCCCAATTTGACTTTGCTGATGACATTTCATGCCCTTCAGAGTTTGTTTAAAAATTTTTATGTAATCAAGTTTATCAGTCTTTTCCTACCTACACTTGGGAGATAGAACCAGTTATAGGAGAATTTCCCATGCACTATTTCATTTATTACCTTTACTCTTTTGTTTTGGATGAGGAATGGATACCATTTGATCCTTTTCCAAATGGCTTCCTTGTTGTCTCAATGCCATTTATTTAAAAAGTTTATTTATTATCAAATCAAAGAGTTGAGATACTGACTTTATCAATATATTGCAATTCTCTTTGTGGTTTCTATATTTTCTGTTTTGTTGCTTTGGTCTATCCATTTGTGTGTCATACTGTTTTAGTTATTATATGTTTTAAAATCTGGTAGGCCTATCCTTTCTTCATAGCCTGTCCTTTTCAGTGTCTTCCTAGCCACTATATATTTATTTTCCCATAAGTATCAACTTGTTTCACTCGATAAGAAAGCTTGTGGATAATTTTATTGGGAATATATTAGCTTCATACATTAACTCGGGGAACATTGACATTTGTTCGTTGCTGTGTGTTGGATGTGGTTCATCCCTGTCAAAACTCTTATTGAAATGTAATTTTCAGTGTAATGGTATTGAGAGGAAGTAGGGTCTTTGAAAGTAATGAAGTCATGAGCGCTTCACTCTCGTGAGAGATTAACAGTGCCCTTGTGTGTGAGATAGTTTTCTTTTGACGTACTGGGCATTGAACACAGATGTGCTCGATCACAGGGCTCTATCCCCAGCCACTATTATTGTTACTATTATTGAGACATCTTACTAAATTGCCAGGGCTGGCATCAAACTTGCAATGCTCCTGTCTCAGACTCTTGTGTCTCTGGAATTACAGTTCTCACCTGGCTAAGATGAGGTTATTTTTTGAGAGGGCTGGTTGTTAGAAAGCAAGCCTGGCTCCCCTGACCTTCTCTGCATGTGCCTGTTTACTCTTCCACTTTCCTCCCTGAGACCCTCAATAGAAGTGTAGCAAATGTTTGCACCATTTTCTTGGATTTCCAGAATAGTGAGAGGAATAAACCTCTTTTCTTTATAAATTAGCCCAATCTCAAATATTTTATTATAGGAACAGAAAACAGACTGAGACGGTGTTGTTGAGACATCTTAACCAAGAACAGCAGGCTGTCTTTCCGTTAATCTTTCAGGAATGTTTTGTAATTTTCATATTATACATTTTAACATATTTTGTTTATTCTGAAGTATGTTCATACTTTGTTTATTTGTTTACTTTATCTTTTTTGTTGCTTTTGTAATAAGGTTTATTTTAAGCATGTGCTTTATAATGACTTGGGGGAAAAAACCTATAATGCCCTTCTTCTTCCCTTATCCCAGATATCTGTTCTTCTGTGTCTTTTTCTTGTTTTTATGGTCTCCTTTTGGGTAATTAAAGTGGATTGAGAAGGATATTATACAAGGTGTACTTTTAGATGAATACAAATATCTAGGTGAAATTAAATTTTTTTTGTTTTTTAATTTGGTGGTGCCAGGGATTGAGTCCCTTGTATGTGCTAGGCAAGTGCTTTACCACTGAGCTACATCCCCAGATCCAGACAACACATTCTTAAATACAAATGGATCAAGGAAGAAATCACAGGGGAAATTAGAAAATACTTAAAATGAATGAAAATGAACCAGGTCTCTGTGAAAATGCTAAAGACAAGGCGTGGGCAGATTCAGACAGCTCTGGATTTATGCTGCAACAAGGAGCTCTCCACGTCAGCTCACTCACCACTAGATAGGGAGTATGTGTGACCACTGAGCTCTCATGCAGGTGTACTGCCTGCTCTGCCAGACTGTACTTAGTCTTAGGTGTGAAGACAAAACATTAATAAATAATAGGAGTGCTGGCTTTGTTTAAGGGTCAGGGTTAGAAGAGATTATGACCCCTATTTACAAGGTTCTCATTTGCTTGTGACTGAAAACCTCTTGTCTCCTATAGCCTCACAGGTAGCAATAAGAATAAAAACACTATCATCCATTGTAACAGAGACTGTACTAGAAAAAGAAAGCTTAGCAGTTTTGTCCTGAAGGGCCTGGGGAGGTCTCATTGAAGAGAAGTTATTTGAACTGGGTCCTGAGGAAGGAGTATGAGTTTGCCAGGTGAGTGGGCCAGTCTGCACTGAGAACAAGCTTCAGAGGCTGTGGAAGGGTCCTGGGGAGGTCAGGATGGAGCTGTGCAGTTGGCCTGGTAGTGAAGGTAGTCAGTGGACAGGCAGCAAATGGACGAGGAGTGCTGTGCCGTGTTGGCCTGGTAGTCCACCATCATGGGGAATGGAATAGAGCTTTCTGCTGGAAACCAAACCTGGTGGTGGACGAAGTGCCAACAGCATTGAAGGCCACAATTTTCAGGTACTATTTGCTAAGTCTCTTGTCCTATAAACTTGCCAGATAAAGTTGCTAAATAATCACTTATGATATGACTCTACTTGCTAAAGAATTATGAAGTGTAGTATTGATTTTCACTTTAATTTAACAGGCCTTCTATACCTTCAGAAACTAATGTTGTATTTTAATAATGTTGTATGACAGAAGATAATAAAAATGAATAAAAACATTAATAGGGGTTTGAGATTTTTGTACAGAATAGAAAAGAAATTCATTCCTGTAAAAGCACAATTCTTTTGTCTTGAGCATTTAAAAACAATCTATTATTAGCAAGTTAAATCTCTTCAGTTTTGTTTGTGTGTTTTCCTTTGGTTTATAAATATTTATCCTTAAAAATATGAGTAATAGTTTTAAGTTGATTAATTACTTTTGATTTTTAAAAAATAGATTTTATTTTTTAAATGATTTTGAATAGTAAATGAATGATTTTTTTTTGCATTTGCTTTGGGTCTGTGTTAACTACAGTTTGTATTTATCCATTTTTCAACTTAATGAAGTTAATCAGTCTTTTATGGCGCTCTTATCTTCCCTTATCTATAATTCAGTAAGAAGTGTAATTTTTTAAAGAATTGCATACAGACAAGGGTATTTATGCAAGTTTCAGACAGAAGCTTAGTCAAAGCCATGGAATGCGGTGAATAGTATGAATTATAAAGGATATGAACCAGGTTTAAAATGCAAATGCATAGCTATATATGCCAGCAAATCAGTTTTTGTAGTCCATACATATTTGTTAAATATTAGTTTGTTGAGTGAATAAAAATTATTTAAAAATTACAAATTCAAAATGGGAACAAAACATTTTATGACTCTATGAGGTATTTTCTGCTTCATGTATTTCATTCAGAGTTATATTTCCTTGGTGTTTCTGTGTTAACTTTGATTTACTTTACACACCACTTATATTAGCATAATTATGTCTGAAAAGGAGTTTTGCATAGTACCTCCTTGTATAGGGTTGACAATCAAGGATTTTGGATTGAACTGCCAGTTTGCCATACTTTTCATGCATGTTTTATTCTGTGAAAATGCCTCATATTGCCTAATCATCATCATCATTGTCTCATGATTTATTTTCGCTTTTCATCTATCTATCTATCTATCTATCTATATTCATGATCTTCTAGAAATTTGTGTACTTCTAGAAATTTGTGTACTTCTAGAAATTTGGGTACTATGCCAATGAAAGGAGGGAATGATTAACTGCATGGGGTGAGGCTTCCAGAGGAGCTGGCATTTGACCTGAGCCCAAGGATGATGAGTACTAGGTTCAGAAGTAGAGGGAAGGATGAGTCAGGCGTAGTTTGCAGTGTAGAAAGGGCCTGCCATCCAAGTAAGGCAAACACATGTGGCTTGGGACTGGGACACATAGGTGCAGCTCATGTGACTGACAGAATGCAGTGTCTTTAGGCTCTATACAAGTTTGATAATTTATATCCTTCATTAAAGGTCAAATTGCTGTGTCACATGGTGAGCTGAAGGAGTTCTAATTTATGCAACTTTGTATTTTATTTCAGAAAATATTTATCAGAAAATTTTTTTCCACTGGTGAGGGAATAAAAACGTTTAACCAAACATTCAGATTTAAATCCCATGAAAACGACTTAACCAAATCTCAAGTACTGTGTAGTCCTAGGAATCAGCAGTCTTCCCCTAATTCTTAAATGTTTCATTTTACTGTTACAGAATAGTTTAAAAAAATCACAGTTTGGTTTTCCCATAATTATTTGCCTGTCACACAGTCATTCAGGTGTGTGTTTTGTACATGTTGGGATGTCAGTGAACAATGTTGCCTTCAACACCAGACACATTTAGGCATATCTGTATATAGCACATCACTTTTCTCAGTTTCCCATTGTTCATTGAGGTTCATCCTTTGACAGTAGTTTTGAAGACTTAAAGCATTGTTTTGTTGGCTTATTTGGAAAAGCATTGCTGTATTGTGGTTCAGTGCTTGGACCTTGGAGTTGGACTACTGGGGCAGAATCCTGGCTTCACCTCTTACTAGGATTGTAACTAGGAAAATTCTTACTCCTTGCCTTGGTTGCTTTATTGTGAAATGGGGATATTGTTATCTATTTTATGAAGTTGTTATGAGGTTTATATTTATTAATACATATGAAACTTAGATTGGTATCTGGCATGTAGCAACCACTTTTTGTGCTGTTACTATTTTCATTACATTGTTCCTAGCTAAGCTTTTCCTCTTCCTTTTTTTTTTTTTTTGGTATGTGTGTGTGTATGTTCAAAACAATTTTAGATATTTATCTTCAGTATATGGGATTAATTTTTAAAAATCAACCTAAAAGTGATGCTCTCATGCAGTTTATGTTCACAGTCTTGTTGCTCAAGTGGTGCTGAGGTGTAGGATTTCTTGGCATCTCTTCACTGCTGAATCCCATGGCTTCCCACAGACTGACTCACTGTGCTTAGGTTGGGGCTTTCATTTCTTCTTCCTCCCTCAATGTACTAGTAAAACTCAGGTATAATCTTAGGTCACGTGGATCTCTTAGATTTCAGGTTCTGAATTTACTTTGTGAGTTCGCATTTTTCACTGTCTTCAAATTTTAATGTAAACTGTTTTATTTTCAAGACCCATCCGACTTTCTAATTGAAAATTTGCCTAATAGGAAATACTGAGTTAAAAAATACACCTAATGAAAATCTTATGATTACAACTTATTTTCTCTTAACTACTACCATACTGTTCCCAAATATATTCATCAGGATGTTAATGTATTTAATTTTTTTTTTTGTAGTTGTAGATGGACAGATGCCTTTATTTATTTTTATGTGGTGCTAAGGATCGAACCCCAGTATCTCACACATGCTAGCCAAGTGCTTTGCCACTGAGCTATAACTTCAACCCTGTTTATAGATTTTTTTAATGATGTATTTATTGTTTACTTTTTGGACTTTTTTATGTGAGAGTATGAATCCCTATGAAAACTGCATAACATTTAGCAATTCTCAAATGTAGTTATTGTGGGGATCTTTTGTGCAGATAGGGCTCTTTGGGAAATGCTAAACTATGTCATCATATTGCATTCCTCATTTTCGTGCATCCCATCTTTCCTTTCTAATATAGCCCAAGACTGTTACCAGAGAGATTTTTGGAAGGTGGAATGGGGTGGGATGCTGGGAGCCCAAAATTTTAACTTATTCTTCATTACATGAGTACACTGCTCATTTAACTTCTTCAGGAAAAAAATTACTCTGGAAATGAGTAATTCCTTCCTAAATACTTCCCAAATCCTTTTAAAAAGGGATGCCTTTTTTAAGCGAGTCCAGCTTAAATAGTTTTTACCAGGTATCTTCAGAGCATTGCTCATCTTATATCAGTATCTCTGGGTCTTCTCTGCCTTTGGACATGTTCTTCCCTTGGCTTGGGATGCTGTTTCTGTTACCCTTCTCTGAAAAGCTTTTCCTCATTCCCCCAGGGGTTTGCCCTCACTGTCTGACTTCTCTAGTAGTTCGGTATAATTCACTGGAAATATTTGTTGAACATATACTTTCTGTGAGATATTAAATGGAAGTTATTAATATTAAACTAATTGACGAAGTTGTTTGGAAAATAATTAAGTTTTTATATGTATCATTGCTTTTTTTCTTCTTTTTTTCCCCCCTCTAGTGTTCTTTTGAAGATAACAACATTCGTTCCTTATTAAAACCTTTAGAACTGGAACTACAAAAGACAGTGCATACATACTGTGGAAAAATTTACAAAATATTCATCAAGCAACTAATGAAAAGCATACGAGATCGTTATGACAGACCACCAAAGGAAAGGTGATTCTTGGTGACTGCTAAGTTAAATGGGTGCAAACAACAAAGTGGCAGAAGATAAGTGTGAAGGAATAGTCTTGAATGAAGTGTTTAGGAAGGAATTACTCATTTCCAGAGTAATTTTTTTCCTGAAGAAGTTAAATGAGCAGTGTACTCATGTAATGAAGAATAAGTTAAAAGTTTGGGCTCCAATGATAGACTTTTTTGATCTCTGATGTTTCATAACATTACTTGCTGTCATTCCAGTGTTGATGAAAATATTATAGTGTAGCCTGCACAGTTCTGCTGGCTCCTACTCTCAAGCGAGTAAGAATGGTAGGGGTGTATGGATGGAAAACGTACCTCATACACAGGGTGGACACTCAAGCTGTGAGTATAGCAATAATTTTATGTCAGCACTAACCTCACTTTAAACATGTGAGAAAAAAATTGTTTACAGGGACAGAAAAGGTTCTGTTTCTCAAGAAATGTGATGTAACCAATGTAACCATTGACAATCTATGTACCTTTATACATTTCATCTCCGATCTACAATATTTTTGTGACAATCGTGTTGAAAATTATTTTTAGACTATAATTAAGCTGCACGAAAAATTGAGCTGTATAAGAAAGAAGAAAAATAGTGAAAACTCTGAGGCATTATTCTGTGTGTGTGTGTGTGTGTGTGTGTGTGTGTGTGTGTGTATGTGTGTGTGGTGTGTGTGCGTGAAAGGGGGAAATAAAGTGTTTTTGTTTTGTATGTATTATTAAACTGTCTTGCCAAAACTGGGTTCTAAGGTATTTGGGGAAGTTTTTTGTTTTGTTTTGTTTTTTAAATCACTTTAAGTGAAAATTTTCAGCTTTACTGGGCATTCTGGAAGCAAAAAATATTATGCTGATAATAAAGTGATAACCTTAATAGTAATGCTAATCTGATGGTGGAAACTGCAATGGGCCAAAATATGTAAGCTATATACTTCCTGGATCAGTAAGTTTAGTTACAATGGAGTAGAAAAAGTGGTTCATTTAAACTTCTTCTACCTCAAAATGGCTTTGCAAGGTATTTTTGAAAAGCAAATGTATAGAGCCTTACTTAAGTAAATTAGACAACTTGGTGGATGATTTGGATTAGAATAATGTTACATCTAACTACAGAAAAAAATAATTTTTATTGGGTTAATCTTGCCTTTTTGAATATCACACACTTTTTTTTTTTTTTTTTTTAAATCAGGGATTGAACCCACAGGCACTTCACAATTGAGCTACAACCCCAGCCCTTTTTAGTTTATTTTGAGTCAGTATCTTGCTGAGTTGCTCAGGGGCTTGCTAAATTGCTGAGGCTGGCTTTGACTTTGTGATCCTCCTGCCTCAGCCTCCCAAGTTGCTTGGATTATAGGTTTGCACCATCACACCTGGCCAGGACAGTTAATTTTTTCAAAGCAAGCCTTGAAGTTGAGAAAAATATTACTCTTGGTGTTCTTGACTGCTGTGTAGTTAATTGTAGATTCTGAATGTTAGTACATACCATGCTTGGGCACATATCGCATTTTACCAAGCGCTATGTGCTATCTTCTTTTTCTCTCTTTATATTTTAATGCTTAAATAGAGAAGGGAACTCATGAAGGAAAAATCATGCTGTTTGGCCTACACAGTGTCCTTTATGTAGATCAGGACTTTGTAGAAAGAAGTAGTCAGTACTTTGTTGTCTGCTATCTTTGTAGTTCAGTCAGATACAGATTGAGAGAGGAAGGTTTAAAAAGGCAGATTATTAATTGATTCTCACCCCCCAAAATAAATAAATAAAAATATAAATAAATAAATAAAGAGAACTGGATAAGCAGCCCAGTACTCTTAGAACAGATGGGTTGAGAGAGCAGGAGCCCACTTCCTTGGCAGAGTGCCTTGGTGGAATACCTGAACTGTGTTGAAATTGAGCTCTCTGAGAAAATGAGAATCCTAAAATTGCCATTTTTGGCTGATGTATATAAGACCCTTTCTAAGTGTCTACAAATGAGACCATTGCTTAGCTATATAAGACTCTTTGGGCAGCTTGTTAAAACTAGATATCCTGAGCTTCACCCTTTAGAGACTGATATACTCTCTAGGATGATGTCTGTTAAAAAAAAATATTATAGAAGAGATTTAAAAATTACAAAAAAGTAGGGAGCACATAGTTCAATGGTACTCACCATTCCAATCTAATACTGGGCAATATTTGAATTGTTTAATTTATTTCTTTTTTCCCCCACTCTGCTGAAGTATCTTAAAATCTCAGACATCGCTGTAAATGCTTTGGCAACTCCAGAGTCTTGTACCTAATAAAAGTAGCAGCAGTCCTCTGGCCTCATCTGATATCCAGTCCTTAAGCAGATTTCCCTGATGTCTCCAGTATGGCATTGTTTAGTTGGTTTGTTAGAATCAGGGTACAAAGACAAGTTACATGATTATTCTGTTTTTAACAGGCACCTCAGGTGATTTTGATGTTGACTAGTCTGGGAACCACTGGAAATTATTTGCCAGCCTTAAGGTTGAAGTTAGAGTGCCACAATTCCTGGCCTAGTAGGTCAATTATAATTGTGATTTTGAAATAAGAAAAAACTATTGGGTTATTGACAAGATATGAGTCTATTAAGATTTGATTTTTCTCATTGAATGGATTCTCTCAGTCCTATGGGCTCCAGTGTGAGGATGGTTCTGTGTAGAGTGTGGTCATGGTTTAATCCAACTGGATTGTGTGCTGTGGTCTCCTTTGTATTGTGGCTTATTTATACTGTCCTGTGGCCTACATTGTGGACCAGCTGGAAGGTTCTTCCTCTGGTCTATTCAGACCTGATCTAATTGAGGATTTTACCATAAATTGGGTTATGGTGAAAACTGTCTTTTTTTTTTTTTTAAACCTAAAGTCAATGGTATCACAGAATGTCTATAACAGTTTTGAAGTGAATTTTCTAAATTCTATCTTGAAGGTAATTTTTTTTCCTTGAGAATTCTTAAGAAATGAAGTGCTCAGATCTAATAAGGTTAAATTACAGATGGATAACTTGGAGAACATAATATTTTTTCAGTATAAGAAGTCTTTCAGAAAACATAGTATATCTATGCAGTTGATATAAATTATACTATATATTCTTTGAGGCTGTGTGTTAAAAAACACACAGTTTTGACCTCAGATTTATCTCTGGGCTACAGTATCACCAAAGTGGAAAGATTAAAATGTAGTCGAACTTCATTTGTATAAAATAGTCATCTTAAATGAACTTGGGAAACCTTTAGAAATATACTTTGTGATTTATATTTTAAGAAAATTATTTTTTCCTCATGAAAAAGAGTCCATCATGCATACAGTAACCAAGTGATTTGGGGACATTTTGAGCCTGCAGTGTTATTACTGCCTACGCATTGCTGCATTGCTTTCAATCAGATGGCAGTGGTAGAGTGACAGGAAGACCAGGCTGAGAAAAAGATCTGGATTCTCTTCATGGTCAGAGGCCTCAGGTATGCTGTTTAGACTTCACTATGCCTTAGGTTTTTAGGTGGAGCCAGTATAGTGTGCCCTTCGAACCTCACAAGAGAAGGTGAGACTTCGAAGAAAGAATGAATTTGAACACATCCTGCCTGGTCTGTTACACCACACCAGTGTTAGCTCTAGGTTCTGTTTGGCCCTGGTGGTCCTATCCTCAGGCTGAATGTTTTCTGGCATATGTCTCCAATAAGAATTATGTAAGGAAGAGTTTTTCAGGAAGAGAAAGTAGAGAAGAAAGATGATGAGTAATCAGAAAAGAAGGAAAAGAGAGGAAGTGAGAAAGGGAGAGGAAAGAGAAGGGAATGAGAGAATGACAAAAGGCAGAGTAAAGGAAGGATGGAATGAAATGGGAAAATTGAGAAGTAGAGATGGAGAGGAATGGTGTGGAAGCCTTTTCTGTTGGAGTTGTGCCCCCACCCCCACCCCCACCCCAGGTCACTGTCTGCCTTAGTCCTGCAGGTCAGGAAAGATGCTGGTTACCTGGCAGGAGGCTCAGGGCCTCGGTTTGTTGACCCTGCAGATAGATGCTCACTGATTTTTCAGTACTAATGATTCAACATTTTATCTTTTTTTTTACTGGATCCCATTGTATGATCTGGGACCTATGGAAGCAATATCTTCCATTTTAACTTTGCCCTTTGGATTTTGTAATACTAAATTTGGATTATGTAAGACTAACCACATTCACCAGGGGAGGCTGGGGTGGAGGGACTGCTTTATCAGGTCTGGAGGGCAGGAATCTACCATAGTAGTTTTCCCAGATGATACTGATAGGAGCTGAGTTTGGGAATCATTGCCTCATCTTGAATGGTAGCTTCAACAGCAGATCACATTGTTTTATTCCTCAGTAGAGAGGTTTTCAATTGAACTATTATGGCTGCATTCAAGAGAACAGGAGATAGTAGAAACACTAATTAAAGAGGAAAACCTTAAGAGGATTTTGTTGTTGTTGTTGGTACCGGGGATTGAACCTAGGTCCTTATGCCTGCTAGGCAAGCACTGTAACACTGAGCTGCATCCTTAGTCTTTGCTGTCTTCTTTTTTAGACACTTATAATTTAAGTAATAAATACCATAGTTATAATGTTTCTAGAAAGACCACTGATCTGTTTTTATAAAGTAACATTTTTGATTCCTTAGAGTAAATAGGAAATAAAAGTAGGGGTGCAATATGTCAGGTATGGGGCCAGTTATCCATTTATGAAATGCAATTTCAAGTATCTTGATGTAATCATCGCCTTATTGCATTTTGATATTTAATAAGAGTAGATTAATGATTTGTACTATAATAGTTATCCTTTTATACATTGCCAAAGCAACCCTTTTTTGCTTATTAAAGTATGGCTAAACTATTCTGATGTTTGTTGTTTCTTAATTCATTGAACATAAAGCTAGATTTTTAAAAACTAAGTTATATAAACTTAAGACAAGTCTAAAAGGTGGCATAAGAATCTGAAAGAAAAAGCTATGAGTGAATAGGATGTTATTCAAAATCTAGCAATTACAGGATTATGAAAAATAATAGGATAGCATAAAGAATAGCATATTAGCCTGGGCAGTTTAAAATCTGTAATCAATTTGATCTGCAAATCAGTGTCTGACTTTGAAAAATTTGTTTTATCACCTCATCTCTAATAGTTCCAAATGTCTAGGGGAATATTTCTTTAGAATTTTCTATAAACTTAGTTTTCAAACAAAAGAGAGCTTTTGCAAAGATTTTCTCTTATCTCTCTAATACTGTGAACACTAGTTGGAAGGTCTGTGCTCAGACATCTTAATATCAAACTTAAGAACTGATGTGCAACCTTTGATTAGGTTTAGTTTTATGTACAATTAGAATATGTGAGCATATACACCCATATAATACATCATAGCAACCCCTTTTAAAAACTGGTGAAAAGAATGCAACAGTGAATATTCTGTTAAAAAGTAAATTGATTTTGACTATGATGGACCGTAGCTATTTTCAATAGTCATATAAAATCTCTTCAGGGAATATTGGAATGTTATTTTTGTTGTGCAAAAATAATCCAGGGCTTGTAGTATTTTTGAAGAATATGCCATCCACTCAAAATTTATCAGAACTGACATGTGTCCACATGCATTGTCACCAGTATTTGGGAGTTGGACCAGTGGTTTTTTGAGGGTGCTGTAACAGATTTGAGAAGGAGACAGAAACTGCACCAGTTCCTGAAATAAAAAACTGAAAAAGGTTGAAGATATCTTAATATTTTGAGTAACAGTTCTAAAGCGGCAGGAAGGCATCATGGTATACTGCAGTATGTAGAGATTATTGCTCTGTAACTGCTTTTTACCTTAACCTACTTTGTTTTGAGAGAAATGTGAATATCTTCCTCCAAGTATTTTGTGTATTTTGGGAGTTATTAAAGGAGAGTATAGAATTATACATTTGGTTCTAACTTGAGAATAATCAAAAGTTGTTTTATTCGGTTTTGAAGGAATTCGGCTGTGTTGCTGTTACTAAATAAACATGTACTCAATAAAATGTTTAATTTTTTTGAATGATGTCTGAATTATTCTAATAAATAGTCAAAAACAATTTTAGGGGGGGCTGAGGATGTAGCTCAATGGTAAAGTGCTTGCCTGGCATGTACGTGGCCCTGGTTCAATCCCCAATATTGGAGAGAAAAAAAAAGTTTAGGTAGTCAGTGCCCAGCTTCAAAACAGAGAACAATTGTATGGTCTTTAAGTGGGGATGCTGGGTCACCAGGAGTCCAGTTGGAGAGCAGTTCCTCAGTTGCCTAATTTATCAAAGACCTTGATGCCTGCCTTGTCCCCATTGCCATTTTCACCCTGTGATCTTGGTCTTCCCTCCTGGCTCCAAAGTGACAGTAGAAATTCTAAGTGGCAGATAACAACCAGAGGCTGAAATAAAATTCATTTTTATGAGGAAGGTTTCACTTTCCCTTGTAGTTACAGCGATGCCTATCTAACAATTGCTTTGCAAAGGGAATTAAGTTCTTCTGATTGGATCAGACCATGAAGATTTGCCACTAGACTTAGAAGAATGGCAACTCTGCAGAAGGAGAGCAACATGAGGGATCTGGAGTTGTTGGGGTAGAAGGACAGATAGTTTGGGAGATAGCTATTGGGTGGGCAACAGGCCATCCCTTATTTTACTAACTAAAGCATTTGCTGTAATTTTGGAGGGGATCAAATTTCACATCTAGAGAAGAGTGCCCTTTTTGTATCAGGGACTAATTTCGTTTTAAAAAGCCAGTAATATTATTATCTAACATTTTTTCAACTTTGCATATTTTATTATATCGTAGTTTTTCGTGGGGGAGGGTCACAATCGTAGTATAAAAGGTTTGGGAAGATTGTTGAAGGTGATGATGGCTTCTGATAATAATTTAAAAATCCCTTTAAGCTGGTGATGAGGAGTTTATTAATATTAGCAATAAGTTTTAAATTAAATTTGTAAATTATGAAATCTCATTGAAATAATAAATTTTAAAGTATATGAAGTAAAGAAATAAAAAACCTTCCTGTTCGTCTACAACTAAAAACATTTGGTGTGCATCCTCTCAGTCTTTATTTTGGTGGTGCTGGGGATTGAAACCAGGGCCTTAAATAGGCAAAGCATTCATTCTACTACTGAGCTACATCCCCAGCCCTCTTCCAGGTCTTTTGTGTCACACATACACATGGTTCTAAAAGTGGCTCCTACCTTATGCACTCGTCTATAAGTTGCCTCTTTTCACATGATATATGAGATATTTCCTTGTCGTTACATTAGATCCACCTCATTCTTTAGAGTTACATATTATTTCAGAGTGGTATCCTTAGGAGAGATAGTACACAAACTTGTGAAGTACAAAAGTATATAAGCAATCAGTTTCAGCTTGATAGGGAAAGTAGTAGTTTTCCCATTTTCCAGTTAAATGTGATTTAAGGAACATTAATTTGTGAATAAAATTGTATACCTCAAGCATTCAAGTAAATGTTAAACTGATAAATTTTTTTAATTAAAAGTGAAATTTATTTCTACAGATTATTTGGTACATATAAATAGAAATATTCGGGGGCTGGGGATGTGGCTCAAGCCGTGGCGTACTTGCCTGGCATGCGTGCGGCCTGGGTTCGATCCTCAGCACCACATACAAACAAAGATGTTGTGTTTGCTGAAAACTAAAAAATAAATATTAAAAAAATTCTCTCTCTCTTAAAAAAAATTAAAAAAAATAAATAGAAATATTTGTATTTTGTGAGATTGACATCTCTGTTACTTGAAGTTTCTCTTCCCTTTTTATTTTTTAAGGAATATCTTGAATATGTAGAAAATATTAAGTTAAAAGAAGTAATTTGTGAAAATGAACAAAAATTCACCATGAGGTTTGACTGTGCCTGGCCTATTGTTCTTTAGTTTCTATGTGTATTAACTCGTTGGTATAGCTGATTAAAAGAGGTTTTAGAATAGTGCTCTCCTGCAGAAATATACATACTTGAAATTAATTCCAATAACATGTTTTATTTAATGCAATATATCCCAAATAGTATCTGGACATGCAATCAATATAAAAATGTCAGATATTTCACACATTTCTCATACTATACTTCATATAGCATTTTTCATGTATGTTTCATGAGTATTTTTCATGTATAGTACATCTCAATTTGAACTTGCCTATTTCAAGTGTTCAATGGTCACTTGTAGCCAGGGGCTACCATGTTGGACGGTGCGTATCTAGAATGTAAATTCTAAAGGCACTATCTGTTTTCACTGTGGTATATCTCTGTCAGTTAGTATTGTAGTTGTACATGATGCTAAAATTTATTGAATTAATTTTAACTGAGAAATGTTTTTTTCTTACTTTTTTTTGGGTAAATTTGGAAAAGGGTTTGAACTCTCGCCAATTTCTTTATAAAAGCATTAAATAAAATTCTCTAATGTCTACTCTCATTAATGGTGAAAGATTAAAATTAAACCACAATAGGTCAATTTTAAAAATCCTAATGAAAGTCTTTTTGTTTCAGAAGAAGCTCATGAAGTTGGTTTACAATCAACACTGGGACTACCTATGTGCTCAATGATAGGGAAATGATTAGGTAAATAATGGAATAGTTGTCACTTGGTATGTGAGGCACATTGGATCTGTGACTCACTCCCAAAAAAACCCATCTCAACATCTTTATATAAAATGGCAAATTTGCATATAATTTACACACATTCTCCCATATTCTTTAAATCATCTCTACAATATTTATAATACCTAATACAATGTAAATGCTAAATTTACATTTAAAAAAATCTACATATTCAATATAGATGCAACTTTCTTTTTAAACTCTTCTTAATCCATGGTTGGTTGAATCTATGGATGTAGAACCCATAGGTATAGAGGAAAGCCTGTACATTATTTTAGATTAGTGGGTCTGTACCTGGAGAGAGTTTTGATCCCCAGTGGACACTTAACAGTGTTTAGAGTCATAATTGACTATCACAAACACAACTGGGGAGTCGGTTGGGGAAGAGGGTGGGTGTTACCCCAACCTGGCACCTAGTGGGCCAAGGCCAGAAGTGCTACTAAACTTCCTGTCTCAGGTCAGTCTTCCGTAGCAAAGGATCATCTAGTCCAACATGTCAGTAGTGCCACTGTTGGGATGCAGGTAAATAGGCAATTAAATATAAGATGCTCTTTGATAATAGGTAAACAGGATGCTAAACAGTACAGAGAAGTCAACTCAAGGTGGCAGAGGGAATGCTTTCTTGGAGGAAGTAACATCTATCAAAATATATAGGAAAAGTCAGCCAGGCAAGAAACATCGTAGTTTTTTAAGAAGGACTGACTACAGTGCCTCAGGTTAGGGAGATGACATTAAGTTCTGGAAACCAAAATAAGTTTAGATTGTCTTGATCCTATTTCCACACCCACAAGTTCCTTTCCAAGCCATTCTCTAAAATGTAATCAGAATGATCTTCCTAATGCAAGATTCAGTAATATTGTCTTGCTTAAACCCTGCCATGGCATTGGTAGTGATATGCAAACACAGCAGGTTTTTCCTCTTGATTTCAGATTAGTGAAAAGGCCTTTGTTGAGAAATATATGTACTGTGAGAAAATAGGATGGGCGCTCTGACACGTCAGCTCCAGAGCCAATAAATCAGGTGGCCCTTGTGAAGTTGAAGATGTTTCCTGTAGAACTGGGCTATATCCTGAGTTGGACTTTTGTGGAAGACATTGAAACTATCAGGAGATAAAGAGAGCCTAGGGGTTTTCATAAAGGCTGCAATTTGCCAGAATTGAGACTTCCAGTAGGGGGAAAGTACATAAGATGCAAAAATCCCAATTTTCCAACCTGTTGATAGGAGGAAAAAGCCTGTAGTTGATACAGTGCAGATATAGGGTGAGACATCCATTATATCACCCACTCCCCCTCTATGTCATGATAATATTAGTGTCCGGCTCACTGTTACTCTATCCAAAACGACTGTCACATATTCTAAATAAAAAACACATAAATGATCCTTTAAATAGCTTGAACTCTGTACCGTATGTCAACTACTTGTAGTCACAGTTTAATCCTGACAGTACTGGCTGTAACCTCTCCATAATTTCAGCTTTATATATCTCACTCCCTGATCCAACCTACTCTTGTATTCTTTTTTTTTAATATTTATTTATTTATTAGTTATTGGCGGACACAACATCTTTGTTTGTATGTGGTGCTGGAGGATCGAACCCGGGCTGCACGCATGCCAGGCGAGCGCGCTACCACTTGAGCCACATCCCCAGCCCTACTCTTGTATTCTGACTCCATCTGTTTTCCTATTCCATGGGAACTCAAGTCTACTGATTCTACCATTTTCCATTGTGCCACATCCCCCTTGATGAGTCCTCTTTCCTTTATCACCACATTAAATTCCATTCCACATAATCATTTGCTTGCATATATCTTCAACCCTTCTGTGTTCTCTCTCACTTTTCATACTGTTAGGCAAAACTATTAGTTAAATTCAACTCTGCATCATGGAAGCTAAAAAGGACTAGAGGAAAACAAAACTGATTACTGGCCTTGCTTTAAATTCATACCTGTGGAGGCTGAGGTTGTGGCTTAGAGGTAGAGCACTCACCTAGCATGCGAGAGGCATTGGGTTCTATCAGCACCACATAAATACAAAATACAGATATTGTGTCCACCTATAACTAAAAAAATATTTTTTTAAAAAAATTCATACCTATGAACTCAAGTGGCTTTTGATGCAATAATAATGTGATATATTTCCCTGATCCACTTTGTATGCATCTCCTATGATGTTTTACACCTTCCCCTTTCTCTTCAAACCACTAGCACCTTTCCCTCCATCCTCAAATGACACCATTGCTGCTTCTTTCAGCAGTTAAAAGAGAATTTCCACATGAATCCACATTAAATCTGTCAATTCCAATGTCTGAGACTGCTCCATCAATTCCATCTTCCCCTGTTGCTATATGTCCCATTCTTTCTTTCTATGTCCCATTCTTTCCTTCTACAGCTTCTCGTCAAAAAAATGATTAAGAA